TGGCAATGTCTCCCCCTCCCTGACCCACTGCCATTGTCCCCATCTCCCAGTGTTTCCCCCCCCTCCATGAGATGCTGGCACCATTCCCCAGTTTGGCCGGGTCCCCCCCCCATCTCTGATCTCCTTGACAGTGTCCCCCAGCCTGGCAGTATTCCCCTGTCCCCAAGCCAGGCAGTGTCCCCTGACCCTGCCCCACTGGCATTGTCCCCCAGTCTACCAGGTGTCCCTCAGCCCTCTACACCCTGGTTTGGTCCCCAACTCTGCCCAGGTCCCCTCAGTGACCTGTCGTCTGCGTCCCCAACTCTGGCAGCGTCTCCCAGTCTGGCCAGGTCCCCCCATCTCCGACCCCTTGGCAGTGTCCTCCACTCTGGTAGTGTCCCCTCACCTGTGACCCCCAGGCACTGTCCCCATCTTGTGTGCTGCCCTCCCACGGAGCCTGTCCCCTTTTGGCCACACCAGATCTGTCACCGTCCCCATGAACCGTATACGGCAAGTGCCACCTCACCACCTAGGTGGGACACCCACAGGTGTCACATCGTGCCACCCTACCACCCAGATGGGTGTCCTATCATGACATGGGGTCCCTGGCCAGGACTGAGCCACTCCAAGCACCTGGGGAAGGAGCTCCCAGCAATGTCCCCAGGCCCCAGCTGCAGGACGGGTGTCATTTGGGATGTGACAGCCCAGGGTGGCCTCGTCCACCAGGAAGGGTGTTGTGGTATGGGCCGCAATCCAACCCAACAGCATCAGGTTTCAGCCGGCAGTGCCAGGAGGAGGAGCAGGGCCAGAGCCCTGCCACTGTCCCCAGGGCCACCACCCCCTGCCAAAGCCATGTTGTCCCTGCCACCGGTGCAGAAGTTGCTGCAGCAGCTACCGGCGGGGACAGCTGGGCGCCCAAAAACACTGGTGGGTGGTGACACGGCTGAGGAGGTGACAAGCCCAGTGCTGGCCACCGAGGGTGGACAACCCACCTGCTACAGCGCCCTGCGAGCGGATGAGCTACGGCCGCTCGCCAACCCTGAACCCGAGGTGGCCACCGGCACCGGGCCACCACCACGGTAAGACCTCCCCAAGGAGCCTCCTTGGGACCCTCTGGTGATGATGGCTCTGGCCGAGCATTGACCATGGGTGTCACCTCCAGCTGCTGTGGGTGGACGCAGCCTTGCAGGTCCCCTGGTTTGCTGGGGACAAATGGCCCTTAGAAAAGTGGATAGTAGTGACAAAAAGGCTGGTGGCATTTTCCCAGCCCAGGGAGGGGACCAGGGAAGGGCGCGTTGGCACATCTATGCCACCGTCCCCATGAGGGGACAAGGGACACCCAGCCAAGCTGGGCTGGTGGCCAGGCTGGAGCTGGTGATGGGCACCTGCTCCCTGGGAAGCGATCTGGGGACATCTTAGGGTGACAACCACAGCTGGGCTGGGACAGGGTCCTCATCACAATGCCCGGGATGGGGATGGAGCTGGGTGCTAGCACTGCGCCGGTCCCTCCGGCTCCTCTTTCACCTGGTTGTAACCCAACCCCTGTCCCCATAAATATTGCATGGAGAGGGGTTCGGTTGCCAGCCTGGTGGAGGACTGGGAGCAGAGACGGCTAAAAATGATGGAAAAAAAGCCTAAAAATGGCTAAAAGCAGAAAAAGTGATGTTTCACCCCCTGGCATGGCACAGGCATGATGACCTCAAGGAGATGCTCGATAGCAACAAGGATTCGCTCAAGCTGGAGGCCATGAAGAGGATTGTGGCGGTGGGTGTTGCCACCGGTGGTGACCACTGCTGTGGTCACCAAGCAAAGCCACGACATGATGTGTCGTGACGTGTCATACCATGTTGGCTGCCCCGTGTCAATGCTGCTCCTTTACCCACTAGATGATTGCCCGGGGGAAAAACGCCTCCGACCTCTTCCCAGCTGTGGTGAAAAACGTCGCCTGCAAGAACATTGAGGTGAGGAAGGTCTTGGGTGGTCCTGGTGGCATCCATGGGCATCCCCAGGGTCTGGTGCGTCCCCTGCAGGGGTTGGGGTCAGGAGGGGATGGGTTTTGAGGGGCTCTGAGGTGGCCCCACCATCTTCACTCCACAGGTGAAGAAGCTGGTTTATGTCTACCTGGTGCGCTACGCAGAGGAGCAGCAGGATCTGGCCCTGCTGTCCATCTCCACCTTCCAGCGAGGACTCAAGGTGGGTTGGTTTTGGGATCCAGGGTGGGGAGGGGTCTCGGGGGGGGCAGCAAGACACCCATGGCCACACCGCAGCCCCGCACATGGTCCCACAGGACCCCAACCAGCTGATCCGCGCCAGTGCCTTGCGGGTCCTCTCCAGCATCCGCGTGCCCATCATTGTACCCATCATGATGTTGGCCATCAAGGAGGCCGCCTCGGACATGTCCCCGTACGTGCGCAAGACGGCTGCCCACGCCATCCCCAAGCTCTACAGGTAAGTGTTTGGGGGGGTTGGCTGCTCAATTTTGGGGGCACCAATAAAGGGCTGGGGCTGGGGTGTGAGCTCTTTGGTGCAGGCAAGGACAGGCAGGAGTTTGGTCCGGCCACACGTGTCCTGCTCTTCCCTCACAGCCTCGACTCAGACCAGAAGGACCAGCTCATCGAAGTGATCGAGAAGCTGCTGGCAGACAAGACTACGGTGAGGAGGGTGCCACGTTGTCCCTGCTCCTCGATCTGGGGACCTCACTGTCCCTGCTGACCTGGTGGCCTTGTGGAGATGCAGGTGGCCCCACCAAACTGGTCTCCTCATGGGGATGAAGCCATCCATGCAGAGTGGGCATCCTCTTGGAGATGTCCTCATCCTCACTGACCCAACATCTGCACAGGATGCAGCCATCCCCAGAGTCAACATGCTTGTGGGAATGTCACCGTCCCCAGGAAAGCAGCATCCTCACGGGGATGCAGGTGGCCTCACCAAATCTGCATTCTCACAGGGATGCAGCCATCCCTGCAGAACTCCTCTTCTTTCAGGGACAGTGCTGTCCCCAGTGGGCCAACATCCTCGTGGACATCTCACCACCTCCACCGAGCCGGCACCTCCATGAGGAAGCCACCATTCCCACCAAACAAGCATCCTCAGCCGGATGATACCATCCCTACCGATCCAGCATTCCCACAGAGATGCCACCATCCCCACCAAACCAGCAGCACGACGATGATGCCACCACCCTGGTGAGTCACCCTGAGCTTTCTCTCCCCAGCTGGTGGCTGGCAGCGTGGTGATGGCGTTCGAGGAGGTCTGTCCAGAGCGCATCGACCTCATCCACAAGAACTACCGCAAGCTCTGCAACCTGCTCATCGACGTGGAGGAGTGGGGGCAGGTGGTCATCATCAACATGCTGACCCGCTATGCGCGCACCCAGTTCCTCAGCCCCAACCAGAACGTGAGTGTGGGTGACCCAGAAGACCCCCCAAGAACCCTCAGGGAGGTGGGGTGAAGGAGGGTGATGTTGAGAGGTGCGAGGTGCCCCACCTGCTGGTAGGAGTCCTTGCTGGAGGAGAGCGCCGAGAAGGCTTTCTATGGCTCTGAAGAGGAGGACGCCAAGGATGCCAAGGCAGAGACGACCTCGTTGGCCAAACGCAAGCCCTATGTCATGGACCCCGACCACCGCCTGCTCCTGCGCAACACCAAGCCCCTGCTGCAGAGCCGCAACGCCGCGGTGAGCCCCTGCCCCAGCCCTGCCCAGCCCTGGAGGCCACCACCGCTGGTGTCCAGCAGCCTGGGCTTGCGACGTTCTCACCAGCTGAGGAGCCACCGGGTTGCTTGAGGGACACCTAGGGGTGGACGTCTCCAGGGTTGGGTTTCTTCTGGGTGCTGCCGGGCGGGACTCGAGGGGACGCAGCCATCTGTCAGGGTGTCCCCATGCCCAGCAGGTGACACTTGGGGGTGTCCTCGCAGGTGGTGATGGCCGTGGCACAGCTCTACTTCCACCTGGCACCCAAGGCGGAGGTGGGCGTCATCGCCAAGGCGCTGGTGCGGCTCTTGCGGAGTCACAGGTGCGTGGCACCCAGGCTGCGGAGGTCCCCTACCCCACCACCTCAGCTGGTGGCACCCAGGAGGAGCTCCAAGAGCCTTTTTTGAGGGAGAGACCCTCCAAAAAGCCCGTTACCTGAGGGACATCAAGTTGGGGCAAATTGCCAGGAACAAAAAAAAGGCCTTTTTGGCCCAGCCCAGTCCAGAGACAAGGTGGCAGCAGCATGGTGGCAGCAGCCTGGTGGTGGGTCCTGCCCTGTCTTCATAGAGACTTGCTGGTGGGTCCAGTCCTGGCCCACTGATGGTGGTCCCCTCTTTGTTCCCACAGCGAGGTGCAGTATGTCGTGCTGCAGAACGTGGCCACCATGTCCATCAAACGTCGGGTGAGTCTCAGACTTGGTGTGGGAGAAGTTAGCCCTGTTGACTCTGGAGCAGAATGAGGGCTAGTCAGAAGGTCACCAGGGGCAGCTGCCTGTGGGTGGCCTCGGTGAAGGGGGGACAGGGATGGCACTAACACCGCTGTCTCTGCTTGCAGGGGATGTTTGAGCCCTACCTGAAGAGCTTTTACATCCGCTCCACAGATCCCACTCAGATCAAGATCCTCAAGGTGAGCTGGAAACACCCAGAGCCTATAACTGGTAGCTTTGGGGCTTCATGGAGCCCTCCGCTGTAGGGCAGCTCTCCTCCATGCCCTAGGGGCAGGAGGACAGCAAGGACCCCATACCCTGGCACCATGCCCCCATGCTGCCCATCTCTTCCTCTTTCCCACAGCTGGAGGTTCTCACCAACCTGGCCAACGAGACCAACATCTCCACCATCCTGCGGGAGTTCCAGGTATGCTATGGCCGTACTGAGACCACTCTGGGTGCCAAAATACCACCACGGAAGGGATGAAGAAGAACCCCACCAGGAAGGGGGAGCTGAGACCATGCCAACCCCGTGGGTGGCTCCAAAGAGCCCCAATGTGTGACCACCACACGGGGGAGATGCTCTGCACTGGCAAGTGGGTGACATGTCGTGTGTCCCCTCCACGCCTGTGCAGACCTACATTCGTAGCATGGACAAGGACTTCGTGGCAGCCACCATTCAAGCCATCGGACGCTGTGCCACCAACATCGGGAAGGTGCGGGACACCTGCCTTAACGGCCTGGTCCAGCTCCTCTCCAACCGTGATGGTGAGTGCACGTGGTGGGGGTGAAATGGGGGCTCCTCCTCACCCTCGGGACAGGACCTCGCTGAGGCCAACTCTCTTCCCGCAGAGCTGGTGGTGGCCGAATCTGTGGTGGTCATCAAAAAGCTGCTGCAGATGCAGCCGGCCCAGCACAGTGAGATCATCAAGCACATGGCCAAGCTCACCGACAACATCCAGGTAGGTGGGGACGTTGGGTGGCCTGCAGGACCGGGGGGGAGTGGCAGCGGTGCCACGTGCCCAGGGACCTTTTGCAGGTGCCGATGGCGCGGGCCAGCATCTTGTGGCTCATCGGCGAGTACTGTGAGCATGTGCCCAAGATTGCGCCCGATGTGCTCCGCAAGATGGCCAAGTCCTTCACCAACGAGGAGGACATCGTCAAGTTGCAGGTCATCAACCTGGCGGCTAAGCTCTACCTGACCAACTCCAAGCAGGTACCGGGGATGTGGCACAGTGGCATGCCTCAGTTTCCCCCACCAGAGAGGGAGAGGCTGGCCTTGAGCATGTCCTCTGGTGCAGAGCAAGCTCCTGACCCAGTATGTCCTCAACTTGGCCAAGTACGACCAGAACTACGACATCCGCGATCGGGCTCGCTTCATCCGCCAGCTCATCGTGCCCACCGAGAAGAGCGGGGCCCTCAACAAGTATGCCAAGAAGCTCTTCTTGGCCCAAAAACCTGCCCCCATCTTGGAGTCCTCCTTCAAAGGTACACACCCTTGGTCACAGGTCACGGGGAGATGGGGCCAGGTGTCACCACAGTGCTGCGTGGCTTTCCCCAAGCTGCTGCCACCTCTCACTCCGCTGTAGATCGAGACCATTTCCAGCTGGGCTCTCTGTCCCACCTGCTCAATGCCAAGGCTGTGGGCTACCAGGAGCTGCCCGATTGGCCAGATGAGGCCCCGGACCCCTCTGTGAGGAACGTGGAGGTGCGTGGAGCACCTCGGGGTGCTGGTGTGCGTGCTGGGGGAAAACCAAGGTGGGGGTATCATTTCGAGGTGTTGCGAGAGCCCCAGAAGGTGCTCAGGTGCTGCTCAGCTTCTCCACATCCCCTCTCTGGTGCCCTCACACCAGCCTGGGGACAGAATGGGGGCAAGGGCTGTTGTTCGGGATAGCACCCATGGACCCTGCGCCACCAGGTTCCTGAGTGGACCAAGTGCACCAGCCGGGAGAAGAGGAAGGAGAAGGTGGAGAAACCTTTCTACTCCGACTCAGAGGGCGAGTCGGGGCCCACGGAGTCGGCGGACAGCGGTGAGGACCTGGTGGCATGGCAGGGCACAGAGCAGGGGACACTGCAGCGGGGCCATCCCATCGTGGTGGGGACGTGGGGTGATGCCAGCAGCAGGGCTGAGCCGTGTTCCCCCAGAGCCCGAGTCCGGCAGTGAGGAGAGCAGTAGCTCCAGCAGCTCTGGTAGCTCCAGCTCCGGCAGCGAGGATGAGGAGGAAGAGGAGGAGGAAGGCAGCGGGGAGCAGTCAGAGGACAAGGAGGAGGAGGAGAAGAGGACGAAGAGGAAGGAGAAGGAAGGCTCCCGGAAGGAGGCCCTGGCGAGCGCCGGCAGGTAGACCTCGGGAAGACGGGGTGTCCCTGGCCGAACCCCTGCCTCACATCCCCCTGAGCCGGGCTCTCCTCACAGCCCCAGTGAGGAAGAGGAAGAGGAGGAGGAAGTGAAGAAGGCCAAGAAGAAGGCACCACAGGGGAGGAAGAGCCATGCTGAGACCTCCTCAGAGGAGGCCAGCGCCTCCGAAGGCAGCTCCTCGGGCTCTGACTCAGGCTCTGAGATGGAGGTCAAGCAGAGGAAGGCGGTGAGGGTTGGGTTGGGTCGGGTTGGGGGGTGGCATGGGGGCCCCCAGACCCCCCAGTCACCCTGTCCCCAAATCTCTATGCCCTCCTGCAGCCCCCCAGCAGCAGGGCTGGCCCCAAGGAGATCTCCCTGCTCGACCTAGATGACTGTGAGTGGCCATCACGGGGAAACAGAGTTTGGTTGGGGAAACTGAAGCACGGTTGGGTCAAAGCCCCACAGGTCCTTTGGGAGCTGCTGAGGTGGCATGATGCGTCCTTGTCCCCAGAGGGTGGCTGTGGGATGGGTGGCTGTGCCAACGGGGCTGGTGCTCTTGGGGTTGTCTCCATGGGGTGGTGCCTCCAGGGTTGTCCCCCTGCACGTGTGCCACCAGGGCTGTCCCCACAGGGTTGTGCCCATAGGGCTGTGCCACTAAGGTGGTCCCATGGGGCTGTGCCACTGAGGCTGTCTCTATGAGGTTGTCCCCAGGGGCAGGGCCCCATGTGCCATGTGCCTCATC